CCCTTTGGGAATGGCCTGAGGATACTTCAGTCAGTAGCACCGCCCCGGGGGTCTGAAATAGGTTTAATGGGAATGAAGAAGTAAACAACACATGAGCACCAGTGAACCACCCACTGTCTGATGGTTAAAATGTGCTGCACCTTTACCTTTGGTCAGCTGCTGATCTCGCACAATTCATGATTACAGTAGGTCGTCAAAAAGTTAAGGATAGACAATTACTGGCATCACGACGTCTGTGATAAAAGTTCAGTGACCTCTGTCGTGAAGAACCATACAGACACACCTAGGCACAGGATGACACGCACACAAAAATACATACAACAAAACAGACGGACGGACGCACACATACACACACATACACACACAAAAACAAACACACACACACACACACACACACACACACTCATGAACACACACTTAGGTACATGATGGCACAAACACAATAATACACACAATGTAAAACCCACGCAAGCACTAACACACATACAGGCACACGCACTCAAACATACACACACACACACACACACAAACACACACACACACACACACACACACACACACAAACACACAAATACACAAACACACACACACACGCACACCGATACATGATGACACTCACAGAATAACGCACACAAGGACAGGCACATAGTCACAAGGTCAAAATCTTGCCCACTGGCGATGTCGCACAAACAACCACACCCACAATGTCATTAACTCATTGGAAACGTTTATTCTGGTCATTCGACACCGCTTGTAAACGAGCTGTCTTATAACGTTATAATAACTGTATTTATATAGCGCGTATCCATGCTATACAGCATGCTCTATGAGCTTTACACCTAATATTACCCCAGCAGACCCCCTGAGAACACTCAGAAACATTCTCGGCTTCCCGGGAATCATACAATGGAAGCTGCGGATTTCACGTGCAGAAACACTATCAAACTGACAAGATCTTTCACTGTCTATAGATGGGAACTCATTTCCACCTGGGTGGAGTGAGGAAAATTCTTACAAAGTGCCTTTCCCAAGTACACAGCGTCAGGCCCCTGACCAGATTCGAACCCACGACCTCACGGTTGCGAGTCCGAGAGTCTAACCACTAAGCCACCGACGCCAATCAAAGTATTCATCTATATTATTTAAATTATGTTTTCTTTATCCGAAACCTTAAAAGACAGGCAAAATCAAGCCTGCAACGAAAATATGCAAACTCGTGTTTCTGATTTATGCTGTATGATGGCTCAAAATGTGCAACAACATTGCCATTGATCTTCTACTGATCGGAAGTAATAATTATGTGTCCGGTACGTCTTTGCAATGGAGTGATGCATGATTGTGTTGTGGCATAAGACAACTGTCATGCATACAGGAACAAACAAGCACACACACACTTGCAATACTGGCTGCAGCAACATAATCTACACGACCTCAGAATTACAAAGTTCTGTCTGCCATTTTTGGCCGTTTTGTGAGACCATAATGTCAAAAGTGAAATCTTTTATCTGCTCTATTAAAATAGTGTTCGGAGTCGTTATAAAGATATTTAAAGAGTTTCATTTGAAAAAAAGCTTGACACAATGTGAAACTCAAAATCTTTGACGTCATATTTCTCAAAATTAGGTACTGAGCAGATATACGAGTAACTTTGTAATTGAATGGTAGCCGACTAGCCAGACGAAAGAGCATGGACATTCCAACGGCAAGAATAATGTTATGGCAAATCCAAACTGTACAGTGCAACAGGAGAAACCTGAAAGACGTTTCAAACCCATGTAAATGTGTTCAAACATGGGAATATGTACTTAGGTAACATGGGACAAGGTACATGCTAGTGATACTGTGCATTAAAGATAATATATGCAAACTTCCCAGTTAGTAACAAAGGCATGCTAAGGAAACGCTGCTATGTTGGAACATGAAAGGATCGCAGTCTTCGAGTTTAGAAGTATCCGCTGATAGGGATTACCCGTTGTAAGTGTTTTTGTTTTAACATCGTTATCGAGACGGGGCATACAGGCAATAACGACTCTTGTTATCTGCCTCTTCATTTTAAAACGTCCCTCTTAGCAGCATAGTATTTCCGTTAGCGTTAGCCTATTTGGTATGTTATACAGTCGAACCACACCATTATGGTCACTCAATGTCACAAAGAAAAGCGACCATTACAGATAGGTGACCACTTTGGACAAGGTCTAACTTATGGTCATTAACTAAACTCGACAAAGCAAACATCTTCAGGTTCTGAGGTTCGAGCCTTAGCTCGGTCCGACGTTGTGTCCTTGGGAAAGGCACTTTACACGAATTTCCCACTTGGCTCGGTCCTTTCGGAGACGGACGTTAAACTCGGATCCTGCCCCTTAAATAACCTAATAGTGTTGATAGGGGCGTTAAACCCATACCATTTCACCATTTTAAAAAAAAGTAAACATCTAGTTTCACAATCTGAAATCTTAATTTTGTCTTTCCATGTCATTTCTGTCAAGAGTATTATCTATCACAGAGTTCTTTTGTATTGATAAAAGGTATAATCAAAGGACGGGCTGGCAGAAAACTTTTGTTGCAAGGGACCACTATGAGCTAGCTTTAAGGCCGACTTGTCAAGAAAATGACCTGACCGAGGCTGCGTTGGACAGTGGCCGCTATGAACAGTGGCTGTTAGTACAGGTGACCACATGAAAAGATCACCGATTAGGTTGATTCGACAGTATAATAAGTGTTTAATTTCAGCTCTTCATAATTTGACCGGTTATTACATAACTTGTCTCTATATTCTCAGATGATAGCATCATCAAAAAGTGCCAAATCTGAAACAAGACTGGCGACCATGGCTCACCATTCACTTCTTTGACCCCATGCTCTAGAAATAGACCAATATATACTATTCTGGTCTTTAATAGATATCCATCTGTTCTCTCTCTATATATATGTGTGTGTGTGTGTGTGTGTGTGTGTGTGTGTGTGTGTGTGTGTGTGTGTGTGTGTGTGTGTGTGTGTGTGTTTGTGTGTGTGTGTCCAGAAAGAAGATGAGCAACAGATAATGGGATATTATATCAACGTTTGACACACAATTTACACTTAATACAAGGGCGTCGATTAAATGCACGATAATAACCCGTGTTAAAACTGATTTCCATATTTTCTCCTCAAGAGTAACACGACCCTTGGGCCCCCATTGTCTAACGCAGATCTAGATTACGATGTTAAAATCAAGGTTGCATGCACATTATCAGATCATTATCAACACATCTGGGATTGGTTCTAACTGACAGGATCGAAACAACCCGCTTCCTAAATTATATAACATGCCACAGGAAACATAATACATTTGTAATCGTTACCAAAAAAAAAGAAGATTTTTGATGATTTTTTTTATGCATCCACTGCAAGTGCCTGTACTGTGGACACGTGACCTCCTAGGTGAAGCCGTACCTGCTGGTTGAAGGTCACTGACTTTCTCTTTGGTTCCCTGGACCCGTTAGAGGCAAGGTCATATCTGTGTGGGGGTGACCCCCGACCCCCAGCACTGGCACTCTGAGAACGCCTTGAAATTGACGGCTTGGACTGCAGAGAGAAACTAGCACCTTTCTTCCTCAAGGGAGGCGATTTGACTGACGTAAATGGGAGTAAATGGTCTTCGGAAGAGAGAGTCGAATCTGGTGTTAATAGATTGTCTGTTGGGCTGTCTATGTACGAGGTAATTGCGTTTGATGAAGAGTTCGACCCTAGTCTGTCGTGGGTGCTTGTGTTGGAGTTGTTCTTCAGAATGGATTTCGGCGGAGGTTGTGGAGAAGCGCTTCTGGAGCGAGGCTTGAGTCCAGCTCTTGGATCCAATCGGTAGACGGAAGGACTGTGTGTGTCTCTGCGTCGAGGGGAGTGGTGGCCACTGCCAGCTGCAGAACGTGATGGGGAGGCGGGGCTCGGGGGGTCGCCTCTGTTACCGTGCAGCGTCAGTACCTGAGCAAGGTTAGAGAGACAGGAATTGTAAGACAATGTGTATCTAATGAGGTAAAAGCCTATTCTCATACATCAAGAGGCACTATGACATGGACATAGACACTCGAATCAATAATATATTATACTCAAATAATTACACACACAAACACAACAGCATACAGACATCTGACAATGTTGCAGGCAAAATTACATTTAATTTTCACACACACACTTTCACTCATAGGCACACACACACACACACACACACACACACA